CTCAGCACTCTCCTACAACGCCGTAACAATACGTAACATTTTCTATAATTTCCGAAAAAACCAAATAGACCAAAATCCCACAAACACAATATTTGGCAGATTTATTAGAAGGGGTTCTTTTAACTGTGCCCCTGGATGCCCCACTATGGAGGTTTGACCAGTTATGTAATGCCTGTGTGCTTTCTAGGGAAACGCTTACTTCCTCCATGTTCAAATGAGTCCCTGAAAGGCGATAGGCCCCTACTTACTACTACCGAGCAATCTAGTAATACAACCGCTTTTGACAAAATATTTTCTTTTAATTTTTTGAAAAATGTATGAGCCCCGGACGGCTGCATAACTACCCACCTTAAAGTCCGCCTCCGACTTTAAACATGTCAGTAAATAAAGAATAAAATACATGTTTATCCATCGTAGTAGGCCTATTATTAAATATTATACACAGCATGTTGAAATCGATTAAATAATGTATCAATGGGACCTTAAAGGACGATCGGGTCATTTTATTCAGATTGGCCTTATCATGTTTCAGAGCAACATACTTTTTGGTATTAACGTAACACTTTATTAAAAACAATCAATGAATTTTGTTACTCAAACGTCTTTATATTGATATTTTCAAGCCTATTAGATGACCTGAAGAAAAGGTGATCCAGAAGTCGTAGGCTTGCTGTACAATATATTATGGCGAAAGTAAATTTTTGTCTGTCTCTGAATTTTAATAGTGTTACTGTAATAGAGCCTATTATTAAATATTGGAATGGGTATACCTTATAGATTTATAACCAGGTAGCAGAGCAGCTTAGCTCAGTTGCCTAAACTGGTGGTAGCCTCTGTGCGCGCTAAAACGCGGGGATCTCTAGGTCTCCGATTCAAATAAAATCAAAGTGCAAAATGGGTTGAATTTTATAAAAGTAAAGGGTTCAAGCAGAAAAATCTAAACAATCAACATTTAAACATTTTTCAACAAATAGACCCACATCACAATAACAGCAAAATGAAACAGTTTAAAGGGCAGAAAGGCAACCAATATTAAATTATTATTATTATTAATTATTATTATTATTATTATTATTATTATTATTATTATTATTATTATTATTATTATTATTATTGCAATGAGATTATTCTATCGTTCCTGTTATAGCCACTCATTTTTAAGGTTTAATTTCAGCACTAGAGATATTCAGAGTACCCTGAGAGCCCAACATTTTTCGGGGCCCTTGGACGGGCCCTCGACTCACGTCAATTGAGTTATTTCCTGTTAAATCTCAAGCCTCTAGCTACCTCCAACTTGGCATGTATTCTATATTCCAACATTATTGA